TGAGGCAATTTTCTGACGAACTACAAGGAGATAGAATTTTAGCTATGAGTCTCTATAAAGATGGCTTCACATTCAAAGTTAATCTCCATGTGCAAAACTCTTTAGAATTTGGCTAAAATCAACCAAATTTATTGAAACTCCAAAAAAATTATGTGTTGAGTATTGATGTGTTTCTCAAGCAGGTGTGTAAATTGTTAACATTTTTTTATTAGAGATGATATGGTTGTGTACATGTTAACGGAGATTTCTTATTATAATTGCAACCCTGAGATATTTATATATATATTTGGTATGCATTTGACTATTTTCAGAATAAAATTAACTCTTTTATTTTGTATTGCCAATAATCTCATAACAAACCCCATAAATAAAATGGCTAGTTTTATTTGAATGAGTAGATGAATGCCACTAGCATTGTAAATGACGTGTCAAAATGAGCCAGCTCGCTCAGCTCGGCTCAGATCATGACGAGCTCAGATATTTTATGAGCCGGCTCAGCTCAGCTCATTTATTATATGAGCTTCAATATGTAAACTCGAACTCAGATCTAGTTGATCACGAGTTAGATGAGCAAACTCGCGAGCTAATATAAAAAAATATTATAATGACAATAATTCAAGTTTTATTAAAAAAATCATAATAAATCTGATAACATAATGCAAAAATTAAAAATTAAAACTAAATCGAAATAAAATAAATAGTTCTCAAACCGTAAATAAAACCAACTACTACAAGTTAAAACTTAAATTAAAATTAATTAAAAATAATTGAATGATAAAAAAAAATATTCCGGGTGAGAGTTTTGTTCTTGAGATGATCCAAGAGCAACATCTTCATCGTCTTCATCTGCAAGTAAATTTAAAAAATTAAAACTTGTATATACAGTTCATGCTAAGACATAGGCTAGCAAAAAACAATGGTTGTCCGTTGTAAAGCCAAACAACCAATTTTGTTTTATTATGATTTTCCATTAAGATTTTCTATTTTGTTTATTTAATGGAAAAAATATATTACAAATATTCTATATATTGTAATATATATATAAATATATAATATAATATATTATACTTAGTTTAAAAAAAGTGGAGCTCATGATCTAGCTCATGTTCATTAAAGCTCGATCATATAACTCGCGATCTAAATTGAGCTCGATCATATAGCTTATTTATTAAATGATCCTAAGAAATAGAGCTCATGCTCATAAAAAACTGAGCTGAGCTGAGCCAGCTCGCGAGCTACGGCTCATTTTGACATCTAATAAATCAGTAATAATTACTGTTATAGTTAAAATATAATACTATGATTAAGAATTGATTAGTCAAATTTTGAAAGTTGAATATATGAACATGCTGTGTAAATTGAATAAGAATTATATAGTAAAAAAATTCAAAATAAATTACTTTCCCCACTTTTTTAATTAAATAAAGAATGTATTCTTAATTACACTAGATTATAGATCAAACTCTATGTTTATTACAGCTTGCTTGTATCCATTTCTCCGCCACACTTGTTGCCAGTCTTGGCTATCTCTTTCATGCTCTTCAATGGCTGGCCTTATCTCATCGTACAGTGACAAGAGCCGTACTGCGTCCTTCTTCACCTCCTGGGATATGATTCTCAATCGTCTCAATCATAACATGCCTTTTTCCTACACCAAAGTAAAGTTTAGACTTTCTTATTGAAAAGGATATGCATAGTGTCCTGCAATCACATTAACCACCCTACAAGATACAAAGGTTAATCGATGGCAACAAAACTGAAGAATTCAAAAGTAAATTGACTACAACAACAACAACAACAACACAAAACAACTGTTTAGCCATGAGCGAACAAAAAAATATAGAACTGAAATGAAAACACACAACAATTAATCAGTGACTGAAGTGCATAGTTTAATGACAACAACAAGCAAGTTGAGTAAGCCAATAAACAACCAAAAAAGTTTAGGACTCCTTGGTGGGCAGATGGAAATAACTAATCAAGAAGAAAGAGGAATATAAAACTAGACTGTGATATCTAATGAACCAAACGTACCCATTTCCCCATAGCTTGGCTATATTCACCAGATTTGTCTTTTCTCTTTGAAACACTACTGATGTTCAAGTTGAACCTTGAATTTAATACTGCCTACACTCAAATCATTTGGAAACAAAGCAATAAAAAAACCAACAAAAACTCAGATTTTGAAGATTAAAACGAATCTAGTCAGAAATTTCTCTTACCGTTAATAAATGGCTTTTTCTAATGCCAAAGAGAAGAGAAAAGTGGTGAAGGGTTGGGTACCAGTATCTTCATATAATCGAATCGAATTAAGAACCAAAATCTGGATAATTTCAAAAAAAAGAAAATAAAATCAAGAACATACCTGGGAAGATTCTGAAAGTGAAAACGAAGCTGCTCTTCTTCTTCAGTCATCTCCACCATAGAAGGAGGCACCACACAAACCTCTCTCTTTTTTCCCGGCGGCTGAATTTTGAGAGCAAAGAATCATCACTTTTTTTTGTATTGTAATTAGGTTTAGTTTTCTTTTCTTGGGTTTTAATATTATATTTAAATTTTTGTAAAGAAAAAATTATAATGGCAGTTATGTAATACAAAAAAAAATCATATGGCCTTTTGTCATTTACTTAAATTTTTGAACTATTCTAGTTCTAACAAATTTTGAAGGGCTAGTCTAGTTATTAACACACATTTATGTGCTAGTTTCGTTATTTTTTCATTAATAAATGAGACAATTTTAAAAATATTTTTTTTAAGGATTACCTTTTTAAAAATGCCCCAGTAGAAAGAACATTTTTAAAAATACCCTTATTTTGGTGCAAAAATACAATAGTGCCCTTAAATCATTTAACCTATCTTCTACAATCTCTCTGTTGACAATGAGCGACGAGCTCAGTCTTCATCGCCGACGATCTCTCTCACGATGATTTCGTCTTCTACGTCGTGTTCTTGTCTCTCATCACCGTGTTCTTGTCTCTCATCGCCGTGTTCTCGTTTCTTTCGCCATGTTCTCGTGTCTCTTCGCCGTGTTTTCGTCTCTCTTGGTCGTGTTCTATTTGCTGGGTAGATCTGTTTCGGATCTCGATTTCAATCTACAATCGATTCTTGTTGCTTTGCTCGTGAGGATTTCTCTGATTGTTGCCCCGACTTCGTCGATTAATGTTTCTTCTTATATCCCTTTTTAATCTCTACAACTTCATATCAGTTTTTCCTTCCTTCGTCGTTGTTTGTTGTACTTATGGTTTATGCTGGATTTTTAGGTGGAACTCGTATTACTTTGAAATTTACCAAGATAGGACTAATATTTCTTTGGCTTTCGATGCTTCATCCGTAGAAACCAAACTAGAATATCATAGTGGAAAACACAATCGTTCTTATTAATTAGTTTTACAAAGGGTACGTTTGTAGCTCAAGAGAAAATTGTAGGATATTTGGCTAATTCAACAAGGGGGATTGTTTTGATGATGATAACCACGGTTAGAGAAGGAGGGGCTCAATGTTTATAGAGTTAATCCCTTGTTTGGCTCTAGTTTTGAGTTGTGGTGTTTCAGGTGTGAGAATTGCAGCTGCCAAGGCTGTTTCTGCATTAGGTTTGCTTGCATTTGCAAAAGAATATGGAGATGGACATTAAAGGAGTTATAATGGTGTTTGTTGTCATCCATGTTCCTTGTTTCCTTAGCTTGCTCTATGTATATGGATATCTATGTCGTTAAGATATTCATAAATGATATTAGATCATGGTGGTTCTACGCACAATTCACAGCAACATTCGTTTAGTAATGCTTTAGTAGCCAAAAGATCATCTATCACATGCACATGTAATAACTTTGTTCTCTAAAGTAGGTGTACTCTTTATAAACCTTTTAAAATCATCTAAAGTCTAATAAAGTGTTTAAATGTATGTTAAGGTTATACAAGCTATTTAAAAGGTTCAGCAAGGCTTTTATAAAGATTTTATATGGCTTATGGTTTGTAAAAGGGTTTTTAAGAAATGTTTTACAAGGTTTTATAAGGTGTTTAAATGTATATTAAGGTTTCCAAAACTATTAAAAAAGTTGTACAAGGCTTTTATAAGGTTTTACAAGGCTTTTATAAAGATTTTATAAGGTTCTTTAAAAAAAGGTTTACAAAGTATTTAAAAGGAAACAAGAGATATATAAGAAATAGTTAATTAAAAAAAACTCTCTCTACAAACGACGATGGTGGCGGCGCCTCTAGGGTTCGCCCGGCAATGAGGGGGGAAATCAGACGGTTATTGATCGGGATTTTGTGCGGTCTGTTTGCGGTGGTTCGATTGAATTGGTTGGGGATATGCCTGCGGTTATGGCAGGGGAAAGGAGATTTCGGATCCCGGGATTTACGACTTCGTTTTTGGCATCGAGGGTTGAGGATGAGATACTCTGGGTTGATTAAGGCAAGGATACGATATTACAACTTTCATTGGAGGATGCGGGTCTGGGATTTGGATACAACGGGGATACGATTTCAAGGGATTTCGATTACGATCATATGGGCGCATAAGGAAGATTTGGGGTTGATTCGAGAGCTCAATAAGGAAGCTAAAATTGAATGGGATTCGGGAAATCAAGGGCATACAAGGCAAGCAGATGGGGTTAAATTGCGGCTTCGACAGAGAGAGCTTTCACATTCTTCTCTCGGGCACTGTTATTTGCTTTTACTCTCTCGGATTATTATTCTTCTTGTTTTTCATTTGGCAACTGGAGCGATGTCGCAAGCTTCTATGGTGAAACACAGTGATTCGGGGAAGAAGGGGGTGGAAACGGTTCCAAAACGGCGAGTCAAGGTTCCGGCGTTTGACAACAAGGCATTGATTGAGGGTTACTCCAAAACGGTAATTGGGAGATGCTTCAATCCTAGGAAACAGGACATGAAGACTCTCCTTTTCATGTTTCCTCGGATATGGCAGATGGAGAATCGGGTGGTGGGAGCTGATCTCGGATTGGGTAAATTCCAATTCGATTTTGAGAATGAAGAAGACATCACAAGGGTTCTGACGATGGAGCCGTTTCATTTCGATCACTGGATGGTGGCGATGGTGCGATGGGAGCCGTCGGTGGATCCGGAGTATCCATCAACAATCACTTTCTGGGTTCGTGTTCTTGGCATCCCCCTGCAGTTCTGGGCAGAGCCGACCTTTCGGAGTATAGGCGAGGAGCTTGGGGGAGTAGAGGAGATAGACATTCATGGTGGTCGGGTGAAGGTGATCCTAGATGGGTTAAAACCCCTGTGCTTTGAAACGGAGCTCGACTTTGGTAATGGGGTGGAGATTCCGGTGAAGCTGTGGTACGAGAGGCTGTTTGGGTTTTGCAAGTTATGTCATAGCCTTTGTCATGACGAAGATGAGTGCGAGAAGCTGATTGTCAGGAGGGTGCAACCTTCTGGAGGTGATCGTCATAATCCTTCCCAGGATGACAGGGAGAGGAGACATCATAGCTACAAAGGCGCAGTCGAATCGGAGGCGAGAAAAGGCTCGGAGCAGGATAGTAAGAAGCGCAGTTTGGATAAGGGGAAAGGAGTGGAGAAGGAGCAGCGAGGAGAGGGACACAGGTCACGATCAGGACATTACCACGGGGAGCCATCGTACCGGTCTAGGCGTTATTCCAGCTACTCCCAGCTCAACGATCACAGACGCGTCACGTATGATGAGGAAACCGGTGAAGCGACTATTGTGGAGCCCCCAGAAGCAAAGGTGGCTGGAATTAGCAAAAAACTGGTACGTAAGTCTCTATTCCAAGTTGAGGATAATATGGAGGTTGGCTCTGGATTAACAGTGGCAAATGTGGAGTTTGGTTTGGAATCGGTCTCTTTTAATGAGAATGTGATTTCTGAGGGTGGGAGCTTGGTTGCGGTTGTTCCTGACAAGGAGGGGGAGCAAGTGGAACAGGAAATTGATCCTGAGGTTTTGAATTTTTCTGCTGTGGTTGTGTGTGAACAGGAAATGGAAACTCGGGCCTCTGTCGAAGAAAGTGAAATGGAAATGGGAATGGTGGCTGCGGAAAGGGAGAGTATAGACCCTGGATTGCTAGTGGATGCAGAGTTTCAGCAGGCGGCTCTGGAGGCAGGAGAAGAGGTGACCGAGGAGGAGTTGGAGCTGATGGATGACCTGGAGGAGGAAACAGTGGAGAAGGAGGATACGGCTGGAGATCGAAGCCGCCGGGTTCGTGGGTCAGTGCTGGCTGGTGCAGGTTCCAAAAAGAGGATTGCTCAGATGCTGTCCACACCTAGGAAAAGGCAGGCGGCAAAGAATGGTGAAGGAGGAAACCCGAAGCCCAGGGAGATGGAGAAGGGAGGTCCAGCTGGGTCTAAGCCACCAAAACCAAAGATTACCAAATGAAGATAATAAGTTGGAATTGTCAGGGACTTGGGAATAAGGCAACAATTGGGTATCTTCGGGACATTTGGAAGAAACATAGGCCATAATTTTTATTTTTATCGGAAACAAAACAATATTCTCCTTTTTTAGAGCAATTTCAAGCTCATTTTGGTTATAATAATTTGATAACGGTTGATCCAATTGGTTGTAGTGGGGGGTTGGCATTATTCTATAATAATAATATTTTTAATGTTACTCTTTTATTTAAGTCTAATCGGATTATTGATATTGAAACGGTTTTTAAAGGAAAAACAATAAATTTGTCATTTGTGTATGGTGATCCCGTTCCCAAAATGCGAGGAGACGTTTGGGAAAGACTAACTAGAATTGGTACAGTTCGATCTACTCCTTGGTTTTTGATAGGGGATTTTAATGAGATAACTGGCAACCATGAAAAGAGAGGGGGTAAACTTCGAACGGCCTCATCATTTCTCCCATTTAATTGTATGATACGAGATTGTGGTCTTCTTGAGTTTCCCACACTAGGGGACTGGTTCTCTTGGCGGGGGTGGAGGGATAAGAAACCAATTAGGTGCCGGTTAGACAGAGCGCTTGGTAATGAAGACTGGCATGAGATGTTTTCGGATACGATAACGGAGTACTTACCCATGATCGGGTCGGACCATAAGCCGATTGTTACGTGTGTAGCTGAACGGCGAGCTCGGAGGCGAAAATGTTTCATTTTTGATAAGCGTTGGGTTGGAAAAGACGGTCTCAAGGAAGCTATTGCTTCTGGTTGGGGCACGAACACCACAAGGGGCCCGAGCTCTTTTGTTGATAATCTTAATAATTGTCGCCGAGCTGTTTCTAAGTGGCGGAGAGATCAGGTACCTTTTGGACGGGATACAATAGAAGAACTTAAAAAGGAATTGGCGGAGGCTCAGGCGGATGATAATTCCCCCCAGTCAGTTATTTTTGAACTCTCGAAACGGTTACGAGAGGCTTATCATGATGAAGAGGTTTATTGGCAGCAAAAAAGTCGAAATAGGTGGATGAGAGTAGGAGATATGAATTCAAAGTACTTTCACGCTCAAACTAAATGTAGGCGTGCAAGGAATCGGATAGTGGGCTTGTTTAATACTCAAGATATCTGGTGTTCGGAGGACAAAGATATCTATGGAATCGCAACGGACTATTTTAATGAGTTATTCTCGACCAGTAATCCGTCTGCGTTTGAGGAGGCTTTAGGCGGAATACAGACCTTGATTTCGGAAGAGGAAAATAGATCTCTTACGCAGGCAGTGACGGAGAAGGAAATTAAAGATGCTCTTTTTATGATGAACCCGGAAAAGGCTCCAGGGCCGGATGGTATGACAGCATTATTTTTTCAACAAGCTTGGGGGGTGGTAAAGGAGGATTTAGTGTTTGTAGTAAACTCTTTCTTTCAAGACGGGGTTTTTGATAAACGGTTGAACAGGACAAATATTTGTCTAATTCCAAAAGTGGAGAGACCAACCCGAATGGCGGAATTCAGACCGATAAGTTTGTGTAATGTGAGCTACAAGGTTATATCAAAAGTTCTTTGTCAACGGTTAAAACAGGTGCTACCGGGTCTTATTTCGGAAACACAATCGGCATTTGTCCCAGGCAGACTAATATCCGATAATATTTTGATTGCTCAGGAGATGTTTCACGGGCTTCGAACAAATCAGGCATGTAAAAACAAGTTTATGGATATTAAGACAGATATGAGTAAGGCGTACGATAGAGTCGAATGGGAATTTGTAGAGAGGTTATTACGCAAGTTTGGCTTCTCAGAGAAATGGATTTCATGGGTCATGTTTTGTGTGTCTTCGGTGGAATACAATGTGTTAATTAATGGACAACCTCAGGGATCCATAATTCCGGAACGAGGTTTACGGCAGGGTGACCCGTTATCTCCATATATATTCATTTTGTGTACAGAAGTATTAATTGCAAATATTCGGAGAGCGGAAGGGGCGAAACAAATTTCGGGTATTAAGGTGGCAAACAAAAGCCCGCCAATCTCTCATTTATTATTTGCTGATGACAGTCTTTTTTTCTGCAAAGCTAACAAAGAGCAGGGTGCTGTTATTCTGGATATTTTAAAAAGGTATGAATTGGTGTCTGGCCAACAAATAAACTTTGCAAAGTCCTCAATACAGTTTGGTCACAAGGTGGATGAAGTTACCAAAGCGGAGATTCAGGGGGTACTAGGTATAACAACCATGGGGGGAATGGGAACTTATCTCGGGCTCCCAGAGAGCATTGGTGGCCCAAAAACCAAAGTTTTTTCATTTGTTCAGGATAGACTTAATAACCATATTAATGGTTGGTCGGCGAAATTACTGTCGAAGGGAGGTAAAGAGGTGATGATTAAAGCAGTGGCATCTGCATTGCCAACATATGTGATGTCCTGCTTCCGGTTACCCAAATCGGTTACAACTAAGCTTACTAGTGCTGTGGCGAATTTTTGGTGGGGATCAAATGGAGGTGCTGGGGGAATGCATTGGTGGGCTTGGGCAAAATTGTGTGACAGTAAACAGCTGGGCGGTCTGGGGTTCCGGGATGTTCAAGATTTTAATTCGGCCCTTCTGGCGAAGCAGTTGTGGAGACTGATGGAGTTCCCTGATTCCCTATTCGCAAAGGTTTTTAAAAGTCGGTACTATCGGAAATCTGACCCAATGGCACAGATTCGGACTTACTCCCCGTCTTATGGTTGGCGGAGTATTATTTCAGCTAGATCTCTGGTGCAAAAAGGACTTATTAAAAGGGTTGGGTCAGGAGAGGCCATATCGATATGGACTGATCCTTGGATTCCAGCTCAATTCCCGAGACCAGCTTCAAGTATTGGGCCGTTTAAGGACCCAACACTTCTTCTAACTCAATTTATCGATCGACAACGAAACATGTGGCGTATGGAGTTACTCAAACAGTTCTTTGATCCGTCAGATGTTTCTTTAATTAATGCGATTCCTGTGGGTAATTATCCAGAGAAGGATGCATTAGGATGGCACTTTACAAAACATGGAAAGTATACGGTTAAGTCAGGATATCATACAGCAAGGTTGGTGACCTCGGAGGGCTTTAAGCATGTGGTTTGTGGTCCTCTACTCACACCTTTGTTTGCTAAGATTTGGGAAGTACGTTGCCCACCTAAAATTCAACATTTTATGTGGCAACTGTTATCTGGTTGCATTTCGGTGGCAGCTAATCTCCGAAGGCGAGGGATCAACATTGACCCTAGCTGTTCGAGGTGTGGTTCCCCGCTGGAAACGGTGAACCACGCTATTTTCGAGTGCCCGCCGGCTCGTCAGTCGTGGGCTCTTGCCAACATTCCTACGGGCCCAATTTTTTTTCCGACGGAATCTGTGTACGCTAATATGGCATATTTGTTAGAGCCTGACATTCAGAATAGTGGGGATGGAAGTTTCCCATGGATCTTATGGTATATCTGGAAAGCTAGAAATACAAAGGTTTTTGAAAATATGGATGACTGTCCAGCGGATGTTATTAAGTTGGCAAAGGATGAGGCGACGACCTGGCA